ATATGGTATTATGGAGGGTTATTATTTTGACATTTTTTTGGACTATTAAGTCACTAAATCAAAGAATTGTCCTAATACCACTTGTTGGACTTGATTATATGGCAACCTTTGGGGGTGAATTAGATTTTTTTTATGTTTGCATTTTTACAAGTTTCCTCTTTAATATTCATTTAATAAGAGTTGTCTTAGTAACTTTATAGAACATGGAGTTGCCTAACTCTTCAAGTGTCATAAGCACCTGATTAATGTTAATGAACATCTATTCATATTATGATTCATACTTGGAAGAGCACTACTTAATGAGGGATCTTTTAACCAATTCATGGATTCAAGAAAAATATAAATTTTGCTCTTTAGCATCATGTACATTGTCGTTTTTTAAAATAAGTAATAAATCATCAAAAAATCTTTCGATAAAACAATCTCAAGTACTCTCTCACGAAAAAAAAAAAAAAAAAATATGTACCAATAAAAGCAAAAACTTAGAAAAATTCATTTTTGTTCAAGGAAATATTTTTTTTTTTTGTGGAGTTACCTTCTTAAATCACATTTTCAAAGAATATTAAGTACATCTCATAACAATATTATCCAAAAAAATTTAGAAAATTACCTCAAAACTTATTTTTAGAAATAGATTATATCTATAAAGTCCGATGGAAGAGGAGAGAAGATTTTTTAAATGATATTTGGTTTGAACTTTTCAATTTTCTTTTGTTTATATGCTGGTTTTTTTGAAATAAATAAGATGAAAGTTATTCATAAACTAATTTAGAGAGAGAGAGAGAGAGAGCTTTTAAAATTGTAAATTTTGTCACATCTACAATTGTTTCATCACTTGTTCCTTTCAGTATGGGTTCCGGATAGGCGTTCTTAGTTTTGATTAATTTGTCATACCTCGTGGGCTTTGCTGCGTCTATAGAAGACTCATGCCTCATATTTCTTTTAAGCAAAAACAAGTAAGGAGGAAGAAAAGAATAAAAGAAGCTTCTCGAGGGCACTTTGTTAGAAGTTGGTCAGTACAGAAATCCAAATTCTAAAAGCCTGTGAAATTGAGTAAGCAAACAGAATCCTAAGTTATTTATAATGGCCTGCAAATGATTAGTACCGGGTGTTGCATGGAAGAGTGTGCCTGCCTCCCTCCCAACATTCACACCTTAGTAATTAAATAAGTTTATAGAAACTCATCATAACCCTATCATAATCATAATTAATTAATTCACTTATTTGAATTGATTCACCCTATCTTATATATATGCATGTGAAAAAGTAAAGTAAAGCTTATTATGACATAGAAAGAGGTGGGTCTATAACCATGCAAATTAAATAAAAAAACATATAGACATATATATATATATATGTATATGATATCAACTTTCATTTGCAAGAGCCTTAGCTTGAAGAGCATAAAGGTAGAAGCTTCCTCGATATGGGTGCGCATGGGAGTGCGTTGTATTCTTCCCCTCCTTTAGGCTTTATTACTTTCTTTTTCTTCTCTCTCTCTCTCTATATATATATATATCTATCTATCTCTTGGTTGTGTGTATGTAATGTGTGATGAGAGGGAGGAGGGAGCTTTCTCGCCAACTTGCAGAGACCAAAATTTTTCTCTGCAACCAATAAAGGTAAATGACATCACCATCATCTTTTTCTCCACAACAAAGAACCACCCCCCCGGTCGATCCAATCTCAGTTTACCCATACATATATACACAAACATATACATGTATAAAGAGATCTCTAGAGAAGAGAATTTTCTCTCATGTTCTACTAACTACGTACTTTAATTTTATTAAAGTAATATATATATATATATATATAGCTGCTCCTTTGGAAGATTGAGTTCGGTGATTGGTGACCTATTAAATATTTATCAACCCTAAGTTTTTCGCAGACATATATACACACTTATATGCAAATTTGGGCCAGAAATCTGGTAACTTTCTTCTAGGAAATAATAAAATAAAAATCGAGACGAAATAATTAAGATACAAAATATACGTACTCGATTAACATTTGTTAATTACTTCAATTATTTTTAAAATTCAGGCATGTGTATATGTATACTCCTTCAACTCAAGTTATACTGATAACCCAAATGTATAATATATATGTACATCCAATTCATAATAATATTATTTTATAAGTATTAATTATGATCTGAAGACATGTCCAAGAATAGGCTTTAGCTAGTTAGTACATACACAGACACAGTCACATGAGTAAAAATATTAAATAAGAAAGAGAGTACATATTGAAAGAGGCATGCTGTCTGTCGCCATTGGAATAAGTTTACGTTTTCTTCCATTCAACAAAAGGAGCTAGCTACGGTTTCTATATATATATATATATATATATATAGAAATTCAATTGGTTGTTAACTTTTTAATTTTTATTTTTGGGGTGGTGACTTCTATTTACTTTACCGACCATGCCATGTGTTCTCTAGAACTTTTGCTTTCGTATTAGGATGAGAACTTCTCTTTATTCTTTGTTCTCTCAATTAACTCGTTTACTTACAACCGATATATATACCTATACATAAAAACACGTATAAAAGAACAATGTAAATCCCAGAAGTATTAACAAACATGAAAGCTACTTACTGTTTGTGACATAGTAAAAAAGTAAGCAGATTATAAGATTTGACCAAATATGGTATTCTCCAAGGTAATAGAAGCTAACCTAACAAGAAATATACTCTCTCTCTCTCTCTCTCTCTCTTCGTGCACAGATCATTTTCATGATATTTTGAATTGTATAAATATCATCATCAATTTTTTTAAAATATTTATAACAAAATACTAATTGTGATCTATTACTCTAAAAGTTTAAGTTAGTAAAAAATGATTCGGATTCTATTATTTATAAAATAAAAACATAAAAGAAATGTGTATATATGTGTATCATGTGTGCATATATATAAACACACACACATACACACAAATATATATATACAAAACAAAACGTATTCATCATTTCAAGAGTCAGTAATAGATAAAGATAACTGCAAATTCTTAAAACAGGAATTCACACCATATTCTTTTTCTATCTTGATCTCTACTTTCTTTTAAACTTCTTTTTATACAACAAGAAGATTAAGCAACGTTGTATTTTATATATGTCTATGTATGAATTATATATATATATATATATATATACTTATAATGTTTCCAGAACACAAATATTCATCCGTTCCTAAACGTTGTTTCAACCACCATTCTGGCGGACAATATATGAATCTTTTACAGAGACGTTAGTATATATAATGTATGTAATGCATGAGGGTGGTAGGAGCATGTAAGAAGCTAAGATCATATATAGTCCATAATCAATAAAGCAAAATGTAGTATATATAGCTACACAGCAATATAATAATTAATTAACATATTAAGTACCATGGCTTGGCATGCATGACAATTTTATCGTATCTAATTTGAGTGGAGACCCTAATATAAATTACTAGGCTTCAATTCTCAAAAACCCTAAATCATGAGAAACTTGTAATTGATTAGGACTTAGGAGGTAATGATTAAATATCAAATCACTTACACCTAACAATAATAAGACAGCTGGAGCAATTCATCCAAAGGGTGAATTTCTGCCTTGTGGCATGCCGCCGGTGTTCATCATAGGGCTCATCCTATCAGACGGCCTTTGAGGAGATGGCCTTTCGAGCTTTGTTGATTCGAATTTCTTATCTGCCATGGCATGATCACCGGAGAGGACAGGCTTGGTTTCATAAATATCGGATATGGATTCCAAGTGATCTGCGCCTCTATCAATGGAATTAGGTGGTGCAATTTGCATCTGGTCATGAGCAGAATGCTTGAAAAGATCATGATCTTGAGGTCCAAGACATGATGGTTCTTGCAGCCTGGGATCATCAGCCCAGATCAAAGGGCTTTTGCCACTGCAAGTAGAATAAGGGTTAGACCTCTTCTTTCCTAAGCATAGAGTATCATCATTTGACATGAACCCATGATCAAGGGATGATGATCTGTCCATGTTTTGTTGAAGATGATGATCAAGTTGATCTCCTCCATAGATGTTAAGGTCTTGAAATGATGAGAAGTTGAGAGGAGGCACAAAATTTTTCATCGTTCCCATGTCAGCACCGCAATGATTTCCCAGACCTTTGTAGCTTGCAGCTGCAGCAGCAATATTATTTTCACCTGCTAGAGTCTGACAAGCTTTCTCTAGTATGGATTGCATGTACTTTCCTTGAGCTTCGATCCGTAATTGCAGGTGTCTTTGCACCTGAAAATTTTCTTAATTTCCTTAATCTCGAAGGACAAAAAGTAAAGATTGTAATAAATGGAATTCTCAAATATTACCTCTAATTGTTCATGCAGTCTTCTCTGCACCTCCATTTGCATCCTAATCGCATCAACCATGTGTGAGTTACTGTTTTATAATATTACAGTGTCACACACATGTATTTTCCCCCAACAAAATCCCAACCCCAAGAAACAAGAATGATAAGAAAACTTTACAATTATTGAATTATTATTATATCCATTATAAATTTTTTACTTCGGCTAAAACTGATTGATGTTTTTATTTAAATATTTAAGAAGAGATCAAGTTTCAAATAGTTAATACGTACTCATTCATACTACGTCCAATGATGCCGGATGATGATGCAGCACTTCGTTGAAGATCCAAAGCCGAAGCTGCATGGCGTCGTAAAAGATGAAAGAGAATAAAGAGTAGTCCAAAGTATTGATTATATGCTCAAACAGAAAAAGGAAACCCTAGAAAGAAGAGTCACCTCTCTCACCATCCTTTATGGAGTGATCGTTGAATTCCTTGTGAGGCTGCTTTCCCAGTCTGAATTTCTAAACCCAGAAACCAAACAAGTATGTGTACATATATTTATATATAAAAATCAAAAGAAGGAGAAAGCATAATAAGAGCAAGGAAAAGAAAGGAAAAGAAAAAGGAAAGGAAATCAACCTGACCCTCATATCAAAATAAGGGAAGGAGATTAATGTTTTGTGTACTTAGAAAAGCAAAAGAGAAATTATTTACCTGAAGATGGCTCTTTAGATGGTAAAGGGTAAGACCCTTGACGCCCATCACTCTCATGATTGTTTTGGGTGTGGCCTCTACAAGATCCATATAAGATGAGTAAATTAAGGTAAAAGACTTACAGAAAAGAAAAGAAAAGAAAGTGAAGGAAGAGATGATGAGTGAGTTACTGTCAGGTCCTCCAAGCTGAGTGACAGCATCGACAAAGCGTTCATGGAGCTCAACGGTCCATCGGAGACGAGGCTTAGGGTCAGTGGTGAGGACAAGGCCAGAGTCACCTTGAACACACATGGGTCTGTCGTGGGAATTCATAGTAGAAGGCTTCTTAGAATGGAACATTCTCTCCCTCTCCCTCTCTCTCTCTCTCTCTCTCTCTCTCTCTCTCTCTCTCTCTCTAAGAATACGAAGAGATTCAAGAACAAATGCGATGCAAATAGGGAAGAATAGGGTGCGTTTTTGAAGAAGAGAAGAGCTTATTCCCTTTCTTTCTCTTTCTCTCTTTCTCTCAAGTTTAAAGAATAATACACAAGCCAAACTTGAACAAAAAGGAAATTTTATAATAATTTATTAAATAAATAATCTAATTCATTACAAAAAGAAAGCTACTCTACGTGTGTGTGTGTACATATATATATACCCTTCCTTGCCAAAAGATACTCTCTCTAATTAATAAGAAGCCAACATAGTTCTAATTAATCGAATGATTAATACATTTATTTTTATATAATAGATTTTAGGTTCCCATCAAATTTTACATCTGTTTGTATTATTATTTGAAGATGATTTTTATTGTATTATGAGTAGTGTATATGTATTATTTAGTTAATAAATATATAATTGGTGTATGTGGATATTACGATTTGAAGTTTATGTATTATACAAGTATATGAATGCAAATAAATTACAAATACTGAAATCAAAATAAATACAATGTTTGTAGATCTATATATGTGTGTGTGAATATAGCTTTCTCTATAAACACATTTCCTTTAGAGAGAGAACTAGATGCTTTTATACTGTTGGGAGACGCACATATCGGTAAACCTTTGAGAGAGTAGTAGTGGTGTATCTTTTACCATAACCAAAAGAAGACTGTATAAATATTTGTAGTTTTATAATATTCTTGTATGTGAAGCTTTTCCGAGTGTTAGGAAATGATAATGAGACTACTCTCCATGCAATCGTGATGGGCGACTTGTCACGCTTTACCCTTCTTCCTAGATCTCTTTCTTCTTCCAAAAACATACACACACACATATATATATATATATACACACACACACAAACACAAACATATTTATTAATTTGTATTTATATATATATATGTGTGTGTGATGATACAGTCTCCTCGTTTTTTGGGTACAATCCCCCTTTCAAGCTCATAATGACCTATAAATCTACCAGTTATGATTGTTAAAACCCAAGACATACTTTATGTCATTGCCAACAAAAAGGTTCTCATAATTATATGTGTATATATTATTGGCACAAGATTTATGTTATTTTACTTTCTATAACCTCGCTGGATATGTATGTATCGTCATTGTACGTTTGTAAAAATATACCAACACAATCATCTTCAAATATTATACGGTATATAACACCAATAGATTTCATCTAACAAATGTGGATGAATCTAGCACACTAAATAGTAAGCAGAATAATCAATAGATAAAGTTTCAAAATCCACATAAGCTTCCAAAAACTTTTTTCCTACCGCAGTTCAAATTAAAGTACTTATTAATACTTTGAGTGTATTTCTCAAACGAGTGCATATACCTATATATACATATATTTGGAGGTGAATGAAGAGAGGATAAATGAGAAAGAGAAAATGAAAAAAGCACTAAAAAACAACATGAGATGGAACCATACTTTAAGGGTCTGTGGTTGGTCTTATGTGAAGAAGTGAACATCACGCGTAAAGAGTTATTATAGTGTGGAGCTTTTGATGACAGGAAATGGGGGACCTCTTCTCTTCTCTTTTCCTCCTTTTTTTTTTTTTTTTTTTTTTTGTCTATTATAAACTTTGTTGCTAGGGCTTCATCTCCCGTCGCTTTTGTGGAATTGAAGATTGTCTTTCCCACCAAGGCATTTTCTTCTCCCACATTCAATTCAAACCAACCAAAATTCTATATAAAAACTTACCTATAAACTGTTTTAACGATAATCAATACGCATTTTTCTATAGAGTCAAACACACTAAATTACAAAGGGACCACCAAAGTTAAGAAGAAGAAGAAAGAGTACTACTAGTAAAAGATCTCTCTCTCAAAATATGTAAACAAGAGAGTTTGTATTTCAAATTCTAGTGGGAGATAATAAAAACATAAGGAGGGAATTCAAATGCATGGAGTTTACCATAAAACCCGTTGGGAATAAATGGTATCTTCTTTCACAATTCAAGTTGCTTATGCAAGTGACTCTAAATGTGTTAAGACTTTGTATTCTTTTGGAGCAACTACCAATGCTTAATGATCCAATCTAATTATTACAAGTTGGAATCTGGACATAGCTCTGATAGCAATATTTTACCCAAGATGTAGGAAAACCAAAAAAATCATGCCCCAAATACCTTTTCAAATCTTCTTTTATGTCTTCCTTTGGCCTTCATGGTATATCATTTTATATTTTGAAGAAGGAGTTTTAAGATAACTTTTTAAATCTTCTTTAGATAACATTTTTGTAATATGTGCTTACAGTTCTTTCATAAATCAATTAATAAGGAAACCAATTAGAGAAACTATTTTTTTGGAACAAAGTTAGCTTTCTTAATGTTATGCTTTTATTAATATATTCTATTTGTGAAAGAAACCTTTGGATAAGTTAATAACTTGATTTTAAAGAAGAACATGTGTGATATAAAAATGATAAATTTATATTTTTCTTGAAACCAATGTGTTGATATACATCTTATCACTCTAAGACATATAGTGATGAAGAACTCATGATCAACAATGCAATCTAAAATTTACACAAGTACAATCCATGTGTTTGAACTTGTTACTTCTATAATTATTTTACCACTTTTTTTAAAAAAATTCTTGAAGTATCCTAAACAAAGCTTGATTATTTTTATCTAAAAGGATTCAATTATAGTATTCAACTTGAGGGAAGAAGGTTGTGAGTGAGAGTGAAACATGTGAAGGGGTGTTAATTCTAACTTTATTGGAGAATTTCATAATGTTTTTATATCATAAGCAACATGGCTCACTCAATGCCAAGTTTTATATGGAATCTCTGGTCAAAAGCTTACCAAACTTAATAGGGTGATAGAAGATTCGAGAACTAATTAAGTGAAAGGCAAAAATCTCTTACCTCATTAAGAGCCAATAATCATATCCAATTGGAGGAGACCCATTCATGTGAAGACTTGGAGGAGAGACAATCCCATCAATGGAAAAAAAAAAAAAAGATAGCTTCTACACTCATTGCTTTGTGAACGATAACGTGTGTAACCTATTGATTGATGAAGGTAACTACATCAATGCTACTAGTTTTATAATAGTTTACAAGTTGGGCTGACATGCACAACACATCCTCATCCCTATAAGTTATAATTATCGCATGAACGTGGAGAAGTAGAGATATCCAAACAAGTATGGGTTTCTTTTACTATTGAGTGATACACTGACGAAGTTTTTTGTGATGTTGTACCCGTGCATGTTAGTCATCTATTACTTGGGTGACCATGATAAAAAGACATATGTGCAATTGGTGACAATTTAAAATCGCTATTCCATTAGCTTGAATGGTTGAAAGTATACACTTATCTCATTATCACCCGAGAAACACTAGAAGATCGAATAAAGATTAAAAAAAAATCACTTAAAAAAAGAAAAGAAGCTGCAGAAAAAAATGTCGTAGAGGAAGAGGAGACTAATGTCACATGAGAAAAAGAGAAAAATGTCATAAGAGAAAAGAAGAAGTTAAAAGCCCATGGGAAATTTCTCCCCACCCATAAGATACTTTTTCCCATTCTGGAGAGATTTTTCTCTTAAAAAGGAAAATTTTCTTTTCTTCTTCATATCTTTCTTAAATGATAAAAAATGAAACCCAAATCAAGGAATTATGAAAATTCATTGAGTGAGACTCAACATTATATCTCTGAAGTTTACAAAACAATATCATATCTTCCTAAAAAAGTATATTCACATATGAGAAAAATCATGGGAGATTATGGATAGATTCTAGGCATTCATCACAAGATCATGAACGGATTTACTTTTCTAAAAAATCAAAAGATCCTCTTTAAATTAAGAGATCTTCTCATATTTTAAGTCCGTATAATATTTAATTCAAGAATCTTTACATGGACGGCAACATCTCAACAACAGTGGAAAAAATTCTTATTTAGTTTAAAATAGGTAACCATATTTACATTAATTAGTATTATTTTCTTAATTGTGTAATTTATTATTTTTCTAGTCAAGTTTGTACAATTAATAAGAGATTATATTTCCTTGTATTTTACTTGGCCTTCAACTATAAGTAGGCATCTAGAATTTTGTTGTAAGCATTCTCAATTCAAGTTTAGAGTTAATAAAATATAAAGTTTTCTAACTTTTCAACTAGTGAAGTTCTTCAACCTTCTTGTTGTGTGGATAATTGATGTTTACTTATTAATGTAACTTGTTTTTACTGTTTTCATCAATATTTTTTCTTAAATTAATTTTAACTTACCAAAATTTTTCTTGTAACGTTCTAATCAATTCATATTATTTTAATTCTAATCATAGGTCGATTGCGAGTTAAGTAGAGAGAATTTATTTAGAAATTAAGTTTTTGGTATTTATTGAAATTGTGTGAGCTTTGGACTGCGTTATTGATTTTGGGTTCTACGTCATTTATATTATAATAATTTATTAATGATGATAATGACTCTTTCATTGATGAAAATAATACTAGATGAGCCATTTTAAAAACTCAAATAATGTCTCATGGCTTTGAGAGAGACAAAAGATCTAGGTAATTTGTGTATAAGCTATTTTTTTCTAAATATATCAAAAATATAGGAATAATATATTTTATGTTTAGAACAAACTTTCTAATTAACTTCACCTATATAACATATTTTTTAAAGTTTATAAATGATAATACACTTATACTTTTGCAAATCTCACTTTAGTTTTAAACAAATATGTTTTGATCAATAATGATATAAGAGTAATGGAAAATCTCTATTTAATATTTACCATCCTCTTGGATATTTCTATAAACTATTTTCTCTCACTTTTTTTCTAATTGTTGCATAAATAATTCTCTCAAATTTTTTTTTTAATCCAAATCAACCATTTTCTTCACTAAAATTTACGTAAGTAGTGCTTGATCAGTTTCTTGTTTAGCAAAAAATTTTCAATTTTTTTTCTTATTCTTCATAATAAGAAGTATCTCCTTAAACTATCCATATTTTAGAGCTTTATAAACCTATTTGCTTCAAGGTCAAGAATCTACACTACACAAGAACCTATTAATTTTGAT